ACTTGGGATGTGTTCCCAACACATATTGGTCTGTCTGTCTGTCTGTCTGTCTGTCTGTCGGTTGACTAGAACCAGTTTGAGCACTAGTTTGTCAAATCCTTTTCAAGTTGCTTGCTTGACATTACTATTATAATAACCATGTACTGTCAAGTCAGTTCTGACTTAATGGCAGCCCTTTTCATGGTTTTCTAGGCAGAGAGCATTTATAAGCAGGGTGGCTAAAAATCAGTGATTTTTTTAAAAAAAATCAAATTGATTTAAATTGCAATTCAAATCATGATTTAAATAAAAAAAATTAAAAATTGTTAAAAATTTCAATTTTTAAAATTTAAATTGTGATTTACATCAAATACACCCTTCTCAGGAGTGCTTTACCATTTCCCTCTTATGGGGGCACACTGGGACTGCGCAGCTTGCCCAGGGCCACACAGGCTGGCTCTACTAACAGGAACCACAGTGGGGAATTGAACTCCCAACCTAGCCAGATATCTAAACCACTGGACTATTCAGTCAGCTCTGACATTACTATAAGTAGCTTATAGGTAGCTTATAAAACCTCCACCAAAGATTTTTACTGAGATTCTGTATCCTTGTACTTCAGAAAGCATCTTGACTATATCAACATTTTTTTTGACCTTAATGGTACAAAAGCACATACATGAGAAGCAGCCTCCATTCCACCATGGTATCAGTTGAATTGGGGCCACTGAAACACACTAGGATCAGTCAAAGAGGACACTGTTTCTACCAGAGGGATATTTATTTTGTTCTGTTTTATTTGACCATCTCTTTTGGATTAAATGGCAGATCCAAATGCTGCAAGAGCAGCCTGCCCTATCGAAAGGATTACTAAAACATTATTCAAATGTGAGCATAAAATCAGAATAGAAAGGCTTTAATGAGGATACAAATCTGGATATGCAGACTGCTGTGCCTGCTGGCGATTTGGATTTTATGAGTATCTTCATAAATCATTTTAGCTCAGCTGACATGCATAGAACAGAAAAGTTGTACGTGAAAGAATTAATGTTTTTTCTTTCATGAAACAAAAACAAAATAATGCAAGGCCTTGATAGCTTTTTTCTCTTGTGTCTCTGAAGAGCTTCAATGTACCATATATAATAACTATTATCCCCACTTCAGGAAGTGTTATTACACAACTGAGTGATAGTCTGAAGAATAGAGGCTCTGTCTCCTTTATGTTTTCATCTCTCTGTAGAGTTAATTGCTAATTATTCTCTGCTTGTCTTGCAGTAAGACTGCCCTTTTGACAAAATATTGAGGAAATTATGCAGGGCACAGCTCTAAAACACACACATACAGGAAATAAGCACCACCAAAATAGAGGCTTCTCTTCCAAAGAGAAGGATGACATATTTTCATAAAGTTTTAAAACTCTGTAACGTCACTCTAGGATGTTTTGAAAGCCATTGAGCCTTTATGTTGTGCCTGCACAAACAGGATTCTGGCCCACATCTGCCCATGCATATCTGTCCTTGTGTCAACCTCAGAGAGACTCCCTAGAAAACTAAGGAACTACTGTATCCCTAATAGACTGTTTTAAAGGTATATACATAACATGTATCACATTGGCTTTTGTTTGGTAAAGGCAAAGGTGTGAACCTTCAGATGTAGGCTGCAGTTTCCAGAATTCCTCACCATTGACTGCTGGGAGTTGTAGGCTAACAGAATCTTAAGGGCTGCAGCTGCCGATTTCGTAGAGACCAGGGACATTTGTAGGGAAACAAAGCAGACAAATGTTCAGGAAAGAAAGCTTGGTTATTGGTGCAGTTGTCCCATCCTACAACTAAGCTTCTCTTGAGTTCAACTGTGCCCTGCCCTAGACTTAGCTAAAGGCTTTCCAGTGTCAGGATTTCCAGGGAGACAAAGAGCCTCCTAATTCATGATGAGGCTTTTGTTCCTAACGAAGTCTTCCTTTTTGCTTGGTTGGTATCTGCCTAGCTTGTGCCCTTGTTTTGTGTTTTTCTCTTGGGGTGGGAGGAGACCTAATCTCCTTCTCTGATTCTAGCCTTGGGCTGTGTGCCTCTGCCTGAAGTGTATCGACATCTCTCTCTCTCTCAGGAGCATCAGAAGCTGTCTTCTTCTCTGTGCTCTCTGGCCCTGTAGGGTCTCCATCTGGTAAGGATTCATCCAGTAGTATCATGACAATGTGGGCATTTATTCCTCCACTCCCATACGATAGGAGCTGGGGCAGCAGGCCAAAAGAGACTGATATCTCCACTGTGTTCCGTAAACCTTTCCCCTTTATTGGTAAGCCTTGGATTCTTCAGAGCCAGTGCAGTGTAGTGGACAGAGTCTTCAACTTGGGCTCAGAAGGTCTGAAATAAAAATCTCCACTTGGCCGTGGAAACTTGCAGAGAGATGGCAATGGTGAACCATTTCTTGAACATCTCACATAACTTATAAAACCTTGTTTGGGTCACCGTAGGTTAGAAGTCATTTGACGGCACATAACAAGATACTTTTTGTGTGTGCTTTTGGTCTTTGTATATTTTAAGCATTTCCTTTGTTCAGTTGTTCAATGAATTAAGCCAAATAGAAATGCACATCTGCTTGAGTAACTTCTGCAAATGGTTGGTTTGGCTAAGCAATTATATAAATCCAAATAATGTGTTTAGTGAACAGAATGGAAACTTTTATTTCATATAGGAGCCTTTTTAATTCTATGGAAGTTCACTGTGGCTTCCATTGGCTTAAGGTACCCATTTTGTCAATATGTGGCTTGCAATTTCTACCTGTCTTAACTACAGTATTCCTTTCAGGTTGGATTTCCATAGTTAATTTCTTCACATACAGTGTTGATTTTCACCAGTCTAGATTGTGCATGCTTCATAGTCTCAGAAAGCAAGCAAGAAACAAATGGCAGAAATGTGTGAGCTGTCAAATTTTGTTCAGATGTCCAGGAGATATGTAAGGAGCTGGTATAAACCATGATCCACTAAGTCAAATGCAGTTTGTTTTGATTGAAAGCATTGTTTCAAGGTATCAAGCAATGAGTCCTTCCAGCCTTGTTTCTCCCTCCTGAGATGTTTTACCTGGTGAGGCTGCCTACTGAAATTCAGGTCTCTGGTATTCAGAACATTTGCTCTCCTGCTGAGCTATCGGTTCTACTTAAAGCTCAGGTTTTCCAAAAAAAGGAGATCCTGTGCCACTGATTTGTGGGAGAGTGGCAGTTCCACATACTGTAATGATGTTCCTGTGCCACTGGGACAAGTGGAAATTTTCAAAGCTGGAGGCAAGCTAATGGCCTTCTTCTCACAAACAGATAAATACTATCTTTTCCATGATTGTCATCCATGTTTCAGGGCAGTGGCCACTTGCACCTTTGGTGTATGTGACAAGACAAAGAACATGGGTGAGAGAGGGCAGTCCATAATGCTCTTTTGCATAGTTCTCTTTCAGTCCACCAATTATGCGGTTGTAGGACAACTGTTTCTTCTTAAAACATTGGCAATAAACAGGAATTTTCACAGGGATTATTTCTGTTCTTTTCTAATATATCACCAAATATTTTTAAAGTTATTCTGTAATTACTGATCTATCTCTTAATAATAACTACTTTCCATATTAGCATTAAACACAACACTGTTTTACTTGATTCAAGTACAAGTAGTCTTTTTTTGGTACTTATATATCTTTAGTCTGCTGTCCTAAACAGTTACCTGGGAGTACAAGTAGTGGAAAGACGTAGGGCTTCCTTCTGAGCAGCCATGCATAGTATTGGCTGATTAGATATGGTGATCTTGCACTCAAAAAGAGATCACCTTCAGCTTTTCTTTACTCAAGAAATTACTGCTTCTCTTTGACTCAACTGTGCAAATAATTTAGCAGCTCTGCCTGTGCCAGAATGATTGATCAATGTAAACATATCTTCGGTGCCCTGTAAAATAATTTGCTTCTGTGCTTTAATAATAAAATCCAAGTAAAGCATCTCTAACATTTTCTAGAAGTTACTGCACATTTGCAAGTAATGTATCAGAATTCCAATATACTGTAGATTCATTTCACAAAAGCTGCACACTTTTAACTGTAAAGATTCTTTCATTGTTCCCCCAATCGCCCATGTTGATCTATGGAGGGATGTGCTAACTTAATTTGATAATACCATCTGATGTCCTTAATGCATATGTTATTTTGGAGATTATAATCATTATTACCAGTTTTGTATAATGTGTTTCTATTTGAATAACATTGTTACTTCTAAAAAGAGAAGTCAGGAAAAAAACATGTACATTTTGTCATACACGTATAATCAGGCTTCTGTTTTCCCTGTGTAAAAATTGTCAGCAATAGTAAGAGTTTGCAACATTGTTTCATATTAAAATGATGCAAAATATGTGTACAAAGCTACATTGTTGGTATAACTTCCATTTTTTATTACAATAATACAAAACAAATAAATTGCGAAACAAAGAAGCAAATAACTTTAGACGCACAAACACAGAGACATAGAGAACCAATACAGTACTGTTCTTTGCAGCGAAAAAGAGCAACAATAGATTGGAACCAGTGTGATGTTGCCCATCTTGTGTTCCATGTAAAATATATCCTACATATTTAAGATTTTTTGTGAAGCTGGCACAAACAGATGTATGATAGGCCACTGAGACTACATTGTCCTTGTTTGTAGGTAGTTGACCAAACTAGGCCCTGCCCATAACCTGCCATAAATTCTGCTATGCTTTGCCATTGGTCCCGTTGCTGATACAATTGTTTGTTGTTATACCACTAGTAGACACAAAGTGGATTTTCTGCTGCAAAGACCAAAATAGTTTTGGATGATTATGGACATATGACACAGCATAATACTTAGTTTTGAGAAGCCATGCACACAATATTCTTATTTTTGGTAAAGCAGAAGGTAATTAAAACAGAAGGAAAATTTTATGTACTATTTTCCCATTCCTATTTGCTTGTTTGTTTGATTAATAAATGCTGTACCTTGGAAAGTGATTGTTTTTTTCCTCTTATTTTTACAGGTTGTTTTAGTCTTCGCTCTTAGTATTGGTGCTCTTGTAATATACTTCATAGATTCGTCAAAGTGAGTATTCTTATATATTTCTTGTTCCTTTCTCATTCACCTCTCTAAAGTAATTATAAGACTTGAAATTGCTCCATTCATCTACTGGAGTTCAATGCTTTGTACTCATCAGCTGCATACAGTAGGAGAAGTGGGAGTATTGTTAAAACATTGCTGTTTCCTACACTTAGCTTTAAAAAGATTCTAGAAGTTCTTTTTCCCCTCTTTTGTAATTTTTCATGTTTTGGGATAGGAAAAGATAGGGAGAAAAAAATGCTGTGTTGTCAGAATGTGCATAATTTAGACAAATACTGCTCCTGCAATCAAAGTGTTAAATATTTGCATAAATAAGAAACAGAATATAGAATGGCTAAGAATGGGAGAGATGATCTATAAAACTGCGTACCTATAAATAGTGCTGCTTATATAAGAATAATAATATACAGTATGTGTAACCATGAAAACCCATATAAAAATTATGGAAAAATGCTTGACTACCACTTCAGAAAGCCAACATGCACCTTGCAAGGTCACTGTGTTCCACGTTTCCACACTGTTGGAAAGTAAGGCCGAGAAGTGGGAGTAAGAAACATGGAACATCATGACACCTCAACACAAACTATGTTCAGGTAGACATTGCTGGGTGAGAAGTAGCCATTTCTGATAGCAACTGCACCCCAGTTTATTGAAGGTATTCTCTTTTTCAAAATTTTATTTAAAACAAAAAAAGAAAGAAAATGTTTCTTGGTAGGTTTCTCAGGACCATAGTAGACACCAATATATCTAGGACAGTCTCATTGATCTCAAAAATAATATAACATTTTACTTGGTGATGTTGATGGACATGGCCTATATATGTATATTTCTAAAGATGCTACACTTTCATTGTAATACCTTTCTTTAGTTGCAGTATAAACTAGGACCATCATGTTTTGCTGTACAGTTACCTGATCTTCTTTCATCTTTGTTTAGTATAACTGTCCTCTCAATTCTGAAACAATCAACATTTCTGTGCTTTTACTGTAAGAAAGCTCTGCCACTATAGCAGCTTAGATGATTACTCTAACCAAATAGTGTTTATTCGGCCTCCATCACACATTTTGAAGATTGTATCCATTATTTGGCCAACATTTAACAAGTTGGCAGTCTCGTTGATTTGGATGGGAGAGATTTAATGTTATTGCAACTTTTCCATTGAAATCAGCAGGACCTATTTCTGTTTGTCTTGATGTAAACTGTGTTTCTCCTAGGTTTGCATCTGAGCTGTGAATGTATTCAACATGTTACAAACATATCGGATAGCTATATGTGTTAGGAAGTTAGAACAGGCTACAACATAATGTGTAAATGGCCCTTCGTTTGTGTGTGTATGTATGTGTGTGTGTTGGATGCATCAGTTCATCCGGTTTCAGTGCTATCTTGAAATCTGCTGTGCAAGGCAAAAAGCAGATACAATTGGATGCAAACTCAGTGTTGCATTTGTATTTCGATACATTTGGCATGTGACTCTTAGGAGGCACCAAATAATCTCTGATTTCATATTTACTTTCAAAATAGTGTATTTACGGCAGCTAAAAAACTTACCACTATCCCCACAATGGAGGAGAAAAACAATATATCTTTTCCTTTATATATATAGCAATTATTATTTTTGTTATGATTATTTTGAGACAGATGTGTTTTGAATAAAGTTCTTCCTCAGGAGTTGGTTGCAACTTCATTTGTAATTGTGTGCAGCTACTTGTTTGAAACAGGTTGTCCAAGAATGCCCCCCCCCGCAAAAAGAACTCTAGTAGAAAGAGCAGCTGTTCTTGTGCACTTGGAGGTGTCATTTCTTTCTTGCCCCCACTGAGCTTATCCTCATTTGTCTTCAGTGCAGTTTTCTTCTATAAGCAGTGGTAGCCTGCCTAATTTTGTCTGAATATCTTTTCACTGTGTTATCCTGTCAGATTTATAGTGATATCACCAACAAAATCATGCATATTGCCTTAGCCAGTAGAATTAAACAGCAATGTCTGGACAAATGAAGCCAAGGACAGTGAAGATACAGAAAGAAAATGCCACCAAATAAAGTCAACATCAGAGTATTACATACATGTCTACAACATTTGCCCATTTCCCCAAGAGAGTATGAAAGAGACACCCATTAGTGATCACAGAAATTGTCATGAAGCGAAGTAAACAGCTTGGGCCAGCTCTCTGTGGCAGCAAGGTACCACACAGAGGCATTGATGCAGCTATCTGTGCAAAAGCATCATGGGTCCATTGTATGCAAAGATAATGCTTGATAATGGGCTGTGATGGCATAGTGATAGTATTTAATACAGTCTTATCCATGTAGTCAAGACAAGGGATTTTCCTTACCACTGTAATGATCTAACTATACAAAACACAGTCTTTGCTTTTTGACCGCCCAAAAAGCAAAGACTCCAAGAATACCAAAGGCACTGCCCTCAGCATGGGCACAGGCAGAAAGGTTGCAGAAAGGGATGGAGAATATCAACAGCTCTATCCCACTGTTGTTTTTTAGGAAGAGGACAACAGGGAGGAATGCAAGATGGCTAGTTAAACCTCACCAAAAAAAGAGGACATTTATCAGAAAAAGAAAGCAACAAACAGGGCACAGATTTGCATACAGTTTGCATCTGTTGATCATGGGGGTAGGTACAAAAGTATATATGATTCCTGTGGCTTAAATAGTAATATAGCACATTCTACTGTAGTAGGGAGGATTGGAGCTAAGTGACCTGTGTGCATGTGAGTGATTTCTGATGTGCACACGTTCAGTGTGGATGGGCAAATTCTAGCCCTCCGTTGTCCCTTCTTCTGGTTTTTTATTGTTTAAATTGAAATAGAACTGGAATAGGACTGTCATGTTAAAGCAACCAATTTGGACTCCGTCAAGAGTGTGTGGAAATGAACTCATTTGTGGCAGACTGATTTTGAATTGGGCCAAAGAAGAGTTTTTCTGAGACTAAATAAAGTTGCACTGCCGTAAGAAAATGCACTAATCTTAACTGTGACTATTTCCCATTCATGGCATTGTTGGTGTTAATATTACTGCCATCTGAAAGCTGTATATGCTGCTGTTGAATACAAAGTAACACAATATAATGTATATATTTACATTTTATATATGAAAATGTTCTAAAGATGGTATAAAATTTGAGTCTTTTCTCTGTGGCTTTCTTAAAGCAAAATCCAGAATGCCAGTATATATAGATCTTCCTTCCTACGTACCCAGGTACTCAGTCTGATGTAGTGGACAGAGTGACAGACTAGATCTGTGGACACCAGGGCTCAAATCCACAATTTGCATGAAAACTCACTGGGGGAGAAGAACTGGTAAAACTGCTCCTTAAATACCTCACTTACTTTGAAAGCCCTGTTAGGGTTGCTGTAATTTGGTACCAACTTGATGGCACCTAACTAAGTATCCTACCCACATATACACATACATATCCAAAACAAAGAAACTTGGCTCTCAGAAATTGAATGCTAGACAGGTAATTTCCTAACTTATTGTGCAATGGATGTTGCCCCATCATTTCACAGTCAATGCTGAAATGCTGAAAAAGGTTCACATTTTTTGATAAGTAATGATGATGATATGAGTAACCAAAATGGATCCAGTCTTATGCTTTGTAATGTATTAAGAAATCTCTGTGAAGAGTCTCAACATGGCAAGAAAAAAGAAAAAAGAAAAAGAACAAGAAATTTGTCATGTCCCTACTCTGCCTTTCGAGTAGGGATGTGACCTAATAGGGACTTCAGTTCCCCACTGTGCCTCCTGGACTGGACGATGATCGCTAGGATCCCTTCAAGCTCTGCAGTTCTAAGATTTTATATACTGTATTATATACAAGGTTCTGAAGTGTGAAAAATATTCCTAAATGTTTGTGATTTTGGGCAAGGAAGGAAAATTTTTGAAAGTTTACATTCTTGCATATAAGAATAAAATAAGCAAAGATTCATATTAAATGTGCCACTTATGTTGGTTACATAGTATCTCCAGTATAGGAGGTTGTTGTTTAGTCATTTAGTTGTGTCCAACTCTTCGTGACCCCATGGACCAGAGCATGCCAGGCCCTCCTGTCTTCCACTGCCTCCCGGAGTTGGGTCAAATTCATGTTGGT